CAGCAGCGTGTCGCTGTTTGGCTGCCACGTGCCTCTCCTACCCCCTGCCACCTCCCCTCTAGGCTCTCGGCTCCTCGACATCAGGGTTCAAACGTGTCTCTGCTCACTCCACGGCCCCATCTGAGCCCAGTGCATTGTCCAGAGCACACCTTGCAGTTAATCACGGCTGTTTGAATAGAACAATTCTTGTTTATGCGGATCCAGGAAGGCAAATGCCATTTCCCAGGGAGGAGGCAGAGTCCCCGAGGGAGAGGGGACAGGGGACAGGAAGCGGCTGGGAGCTGCTGATCGCGGCTGCGGTGGCCCGGCGAGACCCTGACCAGTGGCTCTCTGAGGCCCTGCGGTGGCTGCAGGAGCAGCGTGATGGCTCCCGGCTGCTGGGGCCAGGCCCTGAGGCTGAGCCAAGTCCCCAGGCAGGAGCTGACGTTTTGCCTGGAGGCACGACTTCGCCTGCGTCTGGAGGGCATCAAATCTACGGCTCAGCCCGACCTACGTGGCTCAGTGGTTGAGCATCAACCTAAGAACCAGGAGGTCACGGTTCGATTCCTGGGCAGGGCACTTGCCTGGTTTGCAGGCTCGATTCCCAGCGGGGGCCATGCAGGAGGCAGTGGGGATTGAGCCTGCAACCCCAGCCTGTGCCCTGACTGGGAATCAAACCCTGACCCCCTAGGTTCCTAGGTCGACCCTCAACCACTGAGTGGACCTTTCTGAGTGACTGCGGTGTGCAAGGCACGTGTGAGGAAGCCGAGGCCACGGACGAGGGCACGTCACGCCTGAGCCTGCTCCCAAGTCCTGAGCTGAGACACCGCCAGCTCCCGCCTCGATGCCCGGAGGGTAGCAGAATCGCCTCTGAGCAAGACGCCTGCCCCCGGGGGGAGCCAGACCTGCGGGCTGTTGGCCAGCAAGGCCACACTGGCGGTTCCTGACCCCCGGGCTCCCAGCATCCTTACCTGTGGGGAGTGACGCCGGGGCCATGGCGATCACAGGCCTGCTGGGTGCCTGCCAGGCGGGGAGCTCCCCCCACACCGAGGCCACCGCCGGCCCTTCCGTGTCTCCAGGGAGGAAGCCGAGGAGGCTGCGACGGGCCAGCAGCTGCCTGGTCACGGCCCGCAGGGCAGGGAACCCCAGCCGCCGGCCGCTTCTGCGCCAGGACCTCCCGTTCCGGAGCTGCCGGGGCGGTGAGGGTCCAGTGAGGCTTTTCGTGCGAAGTGCCCCACGCAGAGCCCGGGCCCCAGATCCCCAGCAGCAGTGGCTCCGCAGCCGCCGCCCTCTCCCCGCATGGCCCCGCCTCGCCCAACGGGCCCCGGGGCGGCCATGACCGCGCCAGCGTGCTTACGGGCAACAGCTCCCGGTGCCGCGCGTCCCGAGGGCGCGGTGGCATGTTGGGCATCAGGCTCCCGGGTGCGAGGCCGCTGCCGTCTGCCTGGCAGAGCGCCAGGATCACCCGGGACCTTCTGACCGGGAGGGCCATGGCTGGTCCCACGTGGCCCCTCGCCCACCCCGGCCTTGGGCCTGAGCCAGCGAGTGGTGTGTCTGCGGAGACCAGGCACGCGGTTATTTTGCTCTTTGGGTCTTTCACGGAGCGCGTCTCCGAGTCCTCGCATCCGTGGGCACCGGGAGGGCAGGCGCCCAGGAGGGTGGCTGGCGGCGGAGGCCCCATGTGCTGGAAACACCTTGAGCCCCTTCTCACCCCCAAACTGTAGCAGGCGTGCCAGCGGCGGGGTCCCTCCCTTTTCCTCTTCTGGGGTCCTGCCCCCACTGACCGCACCCTCCCTTGCCGCTCCTGTTCCGCCCACCCAGGTGCCTGTGGGCCTGGGAGCGGCCACTAATCCCTGTGGGGCTTGGCGGCCTGCGGCCTGGCGTTTGGTGATAATGATGCTGCTCATATGTCTGCAGCGCTTGGCGCTCACAGCCATCATCTCGCCTGCCCCTCCGGCAGCCTGCGCGACGGGCATTGGCCGCACCGTTTTAGATGGAAAAACCAAGAGGAAGACAGTGAGCTCAGCCCGAGGCACAGGCTGCAGAGGGCACGGCCGGCACCGCCAAGGGGAGGCCAGGCCAGCGCCTCGCTCCGGTCGTTTCTCTGTCCTCGACGCCCTGCACGCCGAGCCCCAAAGGAGTCATTTTAAAAAATGTATTTTTATGGATTTCAGAGAGGAAGGGAGAGGGAGAGAGAGATGGAGACATCAATGATGAGAGAGATTCATGGACCGGCTGCCTCCTGCACGCCCCACACTGGGGATTGAGCCCACAACCCGGGCCTGTGCCATTGACTGGAATCGAACCCGGGACCCTTCAGTCCACAGGCCGGCGCTCTAGCCACTGAGCCAGGCCAGCCAGGGCGCACTGTAGTTTTGATTGCATTTCCCCCAGTGCCATGAGGTTGCCCATCTCTTCGTTTACCTATTGGCTGTCTCATTCTCCCTGGGAGAGGTGTGGGTGCAGGTCCTCTGCCCACGGGTTGGGTTGCTCGTTTGGTGTTGAGTGTTATGAGCCTTTACACATTTTGGAAATGAAGGCTGTGTCGGAGCTACTGTTTGCAAACACCCTCGCCATCCGCTCGGCTGCCTCTGTCTGGTTGTCCGTTTCTCTGACTGTGCAGAAGCTCTCTGGTTGCTACAGTCCCACTCACTTACTTTCGCTTTGACTTCCCTGCCTTCGAGCTCTCACCACCCCCCCCCCCACGCCTTTAGCACGTGGATTTGCTGAGGTCAGTGTCAGGGGAGCTGGCGGTGGCAGAGGATGTGGGCGCAGCTGGAGCCCCGGATCAGCCTTTAGTGACTCCTGCAAAGATGGACCGAAACCCAGAAAAGGAGCTGAATCGTTGAACAGTTTACCGACATTAACCGACACCAAACTGTCCGAGGTCAAGGGCGCGACTTGCTGTTGGAAGCGTCAGTGAGAGCAGCCGTCCGCACTCTGGGGCCCTGGCTGTGTGCCCGCGGCTCGCTGCCCACCTCCTCTGAACCTCGGGGTCCTCTCCTTCACGACGGACACAGACGGCGCCCACCTCACAGCGCTACGAGCGGCTCAGTGTGCAGAGCGCGGTGTGTCCGCCCAGGTTTGCAGGTGGAACAGGAGCACCCAGGGCTAGGCCAGGTGTGTGCTCACTGATTGCAGGGCGCGGTGTGTCCGCCCCGGTTTGCAGGTGGAACAGGAGCACCCAGGGCTAGGCCAGGTGTGTGCTCACTGATTGCAGGGCGCGGTGTGTCCGCCCCGGTTTGCAGGTGGAACAGGAGCACCCATGGCTAGGCCAGGTGTGTGCTCGCTGATTGCAGGGCGCGAGTGTGGATCTGTTCGGGGGCGTGTTAGCCGTCTGGAAATCCCTCGAGAAGAAGATATTTTTTTGGGGGGTGGGGTTAGCCATTCCATTTGCACTGGAAATTCTGGGCGTGTCAACCACTTCCCTGGATAGAAAAGAGCAGCTTGGTTCTGAACATCATCAGCCCTCTGGGTTTTTAAAAATATACATTTTTATTGATCTCAGAGAGGAAGGGGGAGGGAGAAAGAGACACACATACATACGCACACACAAGCACACACACAGGTGCACACACCCCACACAGGTGCACACGCACACACACATGCATGCAAACACACACCCCTCTCACACACAGGTGCACACACATGCATACACACATACCCCATACAGGTGCATGCATGTACGCACACACAGGCACACACATACAACACACACAGATGCACATGCACACGCACACACCCCACAGGTACACACACACACACACACACACACACACACACACACACACATGCTCCTAGCAGCAGGGGGAGCGGGAAGGGCTCAGGCCTGTGTGCAGCGAATGTACTAGAAACAACGAGCTCCTGACACTGGCTCTCCAGGCCCCCAGCCCTGGGCAGCCGCCGCGGAGCAGGCAGCAGTGGGCCTGGCATTCCTGACAGTTCCGCGTCCTCTGGCCATGGCGACCGCGGAGCGCTGCTGGGCGGCCAGGTGGCTGGGCCCTGCTGGGGCTGTGCTGGGGCGGGGTCCTGTGCCCCCACAGCTGCCCTGGGTGTCCTGGGCCCCCGGGGGTGGGGGCCTTTCCCTCCTGCTCACGGGCAGCTCCCAGTCTGCATCGCGAACAGCTGCAGAGGTGACCTCCCAGCGGCCCTCCTCCTTGGGACAGGGGTGGGGGGTGGGGAAAGGGACGGTGTCCCACTCACTGTCACTGTCCCTCCTGCCCTCACCCCATTCAGACCCCACGGGCCTCTGCCCGCCTCCGCCTCCCCCCTGCTCCTCCTCTGGTCCTCGGGCTCCAGCACCTGCTCCGGCCCCAGGTGGGGGTGCTGGACCCCTCGGTGCCCCCCCACTGGCCTACTTACGGGGAGTCTGGTCCAGGGGCCTGGGGGGGGGGGGGGCTGCGTTTCCCAGGCTCCCTTGCAGGCACGCCTTTCGGACACTGTTTGTTATTTCACTTCCTGGCCTCCCTGCCAAGCGCCCTCGGCCCGGCAGGTTCAGCTGAGGATTCCGGCCGCCGCCTCCGGCCCCAGAATACCAAGTAGGCAGGGCGCTTCCTGCCGCGGCCGCCTCTGCCGGGGCGGGGGCGGCACCTGGCTCCTCTCCCGGGCTGCAGGGCGGCACGAGGGCCCACGCGTGGGTTGGGCTGTGTCCACGCGCGTGGTTTCAGCCGCAGAGCCCCAGATGGCACGAGGGACAAGAATCGCAGGGACAGGAGCGCTCAGCGAGGGAAAGGGGCAGCCACCCCTCGCGCCACTGACCCCGGAAAGGCCGCTCCCCACAGACTGCCGCCCGCGGGGCCTGTCGTCGCCACGAGCAACGCCACCCGGATGCTTTTGCTGGAGTTTCCATCTTTTAAAAAATGTATTTTTATTGATGTCAGAGAGGAAGGGAGAGGGAGAGAGAGAGAAACATCCGTGATGAGAGAGATTCATGGATCGGCTGCCTCCTGCACGCCCCCCACTGGGGATCGAGCCCACACTCTGGGCCTGTGCCCTGACGGGGAATCGAGCCGTGACCTCCTGGGTCCTAGGTGGACGCTCAGCCACGGAGCCACCGGGGCCGGGTGGAATATTCCGTTTATTCCCATCACCACGCTAGGAAACTGCCCGGAGACGTCGACTCCCTCCAGCACCCAGAAGGGAGAAGGCCACGTGCGCGCCGGCCCCGGGACAGGACCCCACACCCCCATCCGCTGTCGCATGACCACACGTGTCCACAGCTCAGCCTGGCTGCGCTCGCCCCCCCTGAGTCCTGTAGCACGCACGTTCTCATGAAGCGGCAGCAAGATAGAACGGAAAGACACGTTCGATTCCGAAGGGAAAGTCCTCAAAGACCAGCTGCCAATTAACCAGCGGCCACGGCGTCTGTCCAGCAGCTTCTCACGGTGGACGCGTTTCTGGAGGCGGCCCAGTGGTTCTTGAATCTGAGTGAGATCAGCCAGCAGACGTAATCCGCGTGTTTCCTGAGCAGCAGTGACGACAGAGCCCAGGCCGCGTCGAGAGTCTCATTTTAAGAGAATATTTGTATTGACTTCAGAGAGGATGGAAGAGGGAGAGACAGAAACATCAGTGATGAGTGAGAATCATGGATCGACTGCCTCCTGCTCGCCCCACACTGGGGATCGAGCCCGCATCCCGAGGTGAAGATGTGACGTGCCCTCAACCAGAATAGAACCGGGGACCCTTTGGTCCGCAGGCCGACGCTCTGTCCACTGCGCCAACCCCCCAGGGCTCAGAGTCTTGTGTCTGATGGAATCGCACTGTCTGGGATGGACGCTGGGAAACTCCACCCGCCAAGCTCGTCGCCGAAAGCGCGCTCACGGCCCGAGAGTCTGTCCGCAGCCTCTGCTGGCCGAGAGGGCTGGCTCAGGAGAGCTCCCTCAGGTGGGGGACTCTGTCCCGCGGGGAGACGGCCGTGGATTCCAGCCCTGGCTTAGCCACATCACTGTGACCTCTCGTGAGTAACCTGCCTTCGTAGCCTCGGTCGCCTTTTCTGTGGTCGGTGACAGCGCTGTAAACACGGAAGGAGCCGGGCTGTACTCATGGAGGCTGTTTTGTGTTCTGCCCGACAAACCACACCCAGCACAGCAGCCAGAGACGCGGCCGCCTCCTTACGTGGGTGAAGGTGGAGACGGGGCGGAACTCCATCAGGACCGGGGGTTTCCAATGACTCAGTAAGAATATTCGTAGTTGACACCCGGGGACAGAATCCAGGCTCCCCCAGCAGCAGGTTGAGCCCACGTGCCTGGTATATTAATAGAACTGCTCAATTCTTTGCTTCATTTCTTAGGGGATGTTTTGCACCACGTTATCAAAATACATAAAAGCGCTGGTGCTCCATGCTGGTGAAGATGCGACGGGCCTGGAACTGTTGGCTGCCCCGTGTGCGACTGTGCAGGAAGCAATCTACTTCCCGGGGAGAAAACGCTGACGGAGACTCTCAACCAACAAAGCGGAAGCTGCATCAGCTAACGTATCGACCACGCCAGCCAGGGCGTCTCAGGGGGTGAGCGTCCACCTAGGAACCAGGAGGTCACCGTTCGGTCCCCGGTCAGGGCACAGGCCCGGGGTGTGGGCTCCATCCCCAGTCGGGGGCGTGCAGGAGGCAGCCGATCCATGCTTCTCTCTCATCATTGATGTTTCTCTCTCCCTCTCCCTTCTTCTCTCTCTAAAAACCAAGAAAAACATATTGAAAGTATCCAACCACAAGAGCACGTCTGAAAACACCGAGCTCCTCCTCCACACGCAGCCTTCTGAAGAGGATCATCTGGAAGCATGTGGATGAGCATCAGAGCAGCTTCTGATATAAGCAACTGAGAGCAGACGGCAGCGTTCTCCGTTGACACGGCTGCCGCACGCGGACACGTTCGCCTGCGGCCGCAGCCTGGAAGGCACGCGTCAGAATGAAAGGCAGGTGGGTAGGAAGATGCTGAGATTACGGCTGTTCCCTCCAAACGCTACTTTCATGTCACTTCGTGGTTTTTGAAAGAAAGCAGTGCGGGGAGCTGGGACTTCCTGCCCATCGTTCGCGGGCGTCTATCTTACGATCGTACCGTCATGTAATCACAGCGAGAGCCCCAGAGACCCCGCCCCCCGGTGTGATGGCGCTGAGATAGGGAAGCGCGCGCTGAGGCAGACCTTGTGCCAGCGCCGGAGGTCAGCGAGCGGAAGGACAGCCTGGCTCCGGGTCCCGGGGCAGCGGAAGGCCGAGCGGAAGGACAGCCTGGCTCCGGATCCCGGGGCAGCGGAAGGCCCTGGCATTCACCCCGAGGGGATTTGCATCCCTCGGTTCTCACAGCGACGGCCTGTTCCTGACTCCGGTTCCCTCTGCCGCCCTGAGGTCGGTTTCATTTCACCTTGGGCGGTTATTTTTAACCCGAAGGCCCGAGGCCTCAGCATGGATAGACGGTGACATGGCTAAAAATAGGGCGAACATGAGATTCCCTGGCCAGGCAGCCCAGTTGTGAAGAAAACACAAAAAGGGCACATGTCACACCTCCCTCCAAAAGCCGGGTAGGGGCTGGGGCAGCCGCCTGGCGGGCGGGGCACGGACACAGGAGCCGCTGCCAGGTGAACTCTCTGTGCTCTCGTCTCCCTCCGGTTCCGTTCTCTCTCGAATGAAATGTGAGCTGTTGGCTCTCACGTAGGAGAAGCACATCCATCCCTTGGCGACAGATCCGGACTCACTTACCTCGTGCGGAGCATCGTTCATGACTCACCTCCGTGTGGCGGGATCCCGTGCTGCGAGGAGGAGGGGGAGGAGGGGGAGGAGGAGGAGGGGGAAGAGGAGGAGGAGGAGGAGGAGGAGGAGGGAGTCACCGTGGCCAGCAAATCTCAGTGCGTCCGGCCTCGGCCGCGGCCCTCACCAGGCGTGCGGCTCTCTGTCCGGGAGGAACCTTGCCCTCTCCGTCAGTTTCTACGGCCACGGGGACGCGGTGGCCCCGCTCCCAGGCTCCAGGCTCGGGGCACCCTCTGGGGGTTCTGCAGCTCACAGGAGGGTGACGGGAAACTTAGAGGGCCCGGCTGGTGTGGCTCAGTGGGTGAGCGTCGACCTATGAACCAGGAGGTCACAGGTTCAATTCCTGGTCAGGGCACAGGCCTGGGTTTCAGGCCCTGAAATCGATAAAATATATTTAAAAAGAAGAGAAAACGTGGCGGAAGGCGTCCCAATGCACGAGGCCTGAGCAAGGGCCCTGCTTGGCCGGACTTAAGGGCGGTCATGGCGGTAGCTGCCCCCTCGCCGGGCGCCTGGCCACACATGCACCCACCCCCCGCTGCTCAGCCCTGGGCCCTGCTCCGTGCTCCCGCGATCTGAGCGCCCTCCTCCCCCAGGCCTTTACCCAGACAACTCTCACCATGACCGGGGGTGCAGGCCGGTGGCACCTTCTTCACGCAGCTTCCCGAGCCCTCAGCCGGGGGCACGGGAGGGGGAGGCGCACCCACCCTGCCCCCACCCGCCCCCTGTGCCTCTCTTCTTCCCTGCACCCACCACGTCGGGTTATAATACTGTGCTGCTGAGGGTCTTGTTTTTAAAAATACATTTTTAGCCGTAACCGGTTTGGCTCAGTGGATAGAGCATCGGCCTGCGGACTGGGGGGTCCCGGGTTCGATTCCGATCAGGGGCATGTACCTGGGTTGTGGGCACTTCCCCAGTGGGGGATGGGCAGGAGGCGGCTGATCGGTGTTTCTCTCTTATCGATGTTTCTAACTCTCTATCTCTCTCTCTTCCTCTCTGTAAAAAATCAATAAAATATATTTTAAAAAAATACATTTTTATTGATGTCAGAGAGGAAGGGAGAGGGAGAGATAGGAACATCCATCATGAGAGAGGATCATGGATCGGCTGCCTTCTGTACGCCCCCCACTGGGGATCGAGCCCACAACCCGGGCCTGTGCCCTGACCGGGAATCGAACCCTGACCTCCTGGGTCCTAGATTGGCGCTCAGCCCCTGAGCCTCGCCGGCGGGCTGCTGAGGGTTGTTTTTTTTCAAGTAACTTGTGATCTCCGTAAGGTCAGGGGTCATCCCCATTCATCTTTGTATTTTTACTCCCCTGCAGAGTAATCGGCACATAATTGGTGTCCAATCAGATGCCAGCTGAGCAGGAAGTGACTAAACGAATATAGAAGGACCGAGCGTCTGTCGTTAGAAGTAATTGCAAGGCCGTTTCCATGGGCTCATTCGCGTTTTGAAGTGTGTCCTCCGTGGGAACCGGAACGCACCCTCCAGCCCTCAGGACCCGCCCTCGCACGGTCGAGGGTCGCGGACGGGCTGCAGCCGACATCCCGCCCGTCCAGGGGCCGCGCCTCTGCTTCTCCCACAGCCGCCCCTCTTTGTTGGTCGCCCGCTGCGCCCGGACCCAGGGTTGTGCTACCCCCCTCCCACCCCCCCACAGGTCCTGCTCCCTCTCTAGCTGCCAGAGGGACGGAGAGAATCCGACTGATGCTCAACCACTGAGCCACACCTGCCGTCCTCCGCCTCGACTGTTAATATCTGCCCGCCTGCCTTCAGCAAGAGCCCCGTCAGGTCAGTTTGGCAAGAACAATCCCCGCCTCCCCCCCCCACCACCCCCCTGCAGGTGCCCTCTTAGCTGACCTCGTGCTCCTCGGCGGCAGGGCACGACATTTGGAGGTGAGCCCGTCCCTGTCTCATTGCAATGGATTCGCCACTATGGCGGGGCCTGGAGACCTCGCCACGTCAGCGTGTGGCAGGTCACCTGCGTGTGACCCTGGAGCGTAACAGCCCTGCCCGGCCCGGCCTGTGCGCTCTCAGCCCCTCGGAGTTTATGGAACCGGCTCCCGGCCCCGTCTCCTGGGAAGCGCTGGGGAAAGCCACATTGTCGCTCCCTCCTGGGGGGCTTTTGTGGCTGTTTTTGGACCCCTGAGAGCGCTGATGGGCCGGAGGTCTTTCCAGCAGTGGGACACGCAACGCAGGCGTCCCCGGGTTCCTCGCCTTCTTTTTGTGGGGCACCCCGGCCTCCGGCGCCCGCGCACCCCTGGGGGAAGCGGGGGCCCTCAGACGGGTGGAATGAGCCCTGACCGCAACCCTACGGCCACGGAGGCACCGGCATTGCTGAAAGGAGGCGGCCACGGGGGCTTTTATAAAAGGGACGGAGAGGCCGTTATAAAGGATGCTCTGCGCCCGGGCGAGACCGCGCTGCCGGCTGACGTCCTCGGAGAAGCTCCGGCATCGGAGGGAGCGCGGAGAGACCGTGGCCACAACCCGCGCGGGCTGAGAGTCCGCCGCCAGAGAAAAGCCCAATTAGAGCCAAATTATGCCAACAGATGGCAAGGCTGCCAGGAAAGGGAGCCACCCCCGCCGCCTGAATCAGATCCAGGCTGGGAACAATATTGACTTTGTTGTTATATAAAGAAACCCGACACGGCAATTAAGAAGATGATTAAGGAAGGTATCCCTGAGATGAAAGACGGGCTATTTATGGACACGGAGAGGTGTCTTTCTAAAAGGGACAGCGGCAGCCCGGCCGGCGTGGCTCCGTGGCTGAGCGTCAACCTATGAACCGGAGGACAGGGCACAGGCCCGGGTTGTGGGCTCCATCCTCAGTAGGGGGTGTGCAGGAGGCAGCCGATCCATGAGTCTCTCTCATCATTGACGTTTCTCTCTCTCTCCCCCTCTCCTTTCCTCTCTGAAATCAATAAAAATATATTTAAAAAATTTAAGAATATTAGAAAGGACAGAGGGAAGCAGGCCGTGATTCTGAGGGAGGAGGGCCTGGTCCAGGGGATACTTTTGTACGTTTCCAGCGCGGTGTCTGCGAATCCCCTGCGCTGAAGGGAAGGCCCTGCCCAGAGGAGAGCGGGCGTCCTGGCAGACAGGCACTGGGCGAATGTGGTGACGTACGGGGCCCAGGTCCCCTCAACACCCCCAAGAGCTTCCCGGTGGAATTGGGGTGCAGCACGAGGCCCTAGAGCAGCGGTTCTCAACCTGTGGGTCGCGACCCCTTTGGGGGTCGAACGACCCTTTCACAGGGGTCGCCTAAGACCATCGGAAAACACATATATAATTACATACTGTTTTTGTGATTAATCACTATACTTTCATTATGTGCAATTTGTAACAATGAAAATCCATCCTGCATGTCAGATATTTACATGACGATTCATAACAGTAGCAACATGACAGTGATGAAGTAGCAACGAGAATACTTTTATGGTTGGGGTCACCACTACATGAGGAACTGTACTAAAGGGCCGTGGCGTTAGGAAGGTTGGGAACCCCTGGCCGAGAGAAAGGCGAGGTCATGAGCTGGCCTCACCTGCTGTCCGGTCAGGTCGGGGTCTCAGGCCGACGCTGCTGGAGGAGGAGGAGCGGTGACTCAGCCCAGGCCAGGCGGTCGCTAAGAGCAGCCACGCCCCGCGGCTTAGCTGTCCCGCTGTTTCTAAGGAGCCTGTGGACATCACAGCAGCCGAGAGGTCACACTTGCTCCGTGCGTGCTGCTCGCCTGCCTGAGTGTGTTGTGTGCTCTGCCCACACGGCTTGAAGGGAGCCTCTGACCGTGACCGTCATGGCCATGGAAACGGGTTCGGGGTGAGAACCGGGGCAGAGCACGGCCGTGGAGGCGGGAGGAGTCCGCGCTGGCCAGCCTGGCTCCGGGCCTTGTCTTACCCATCGCCCTGGGGAGCCAGGAGGTGGAATCAGCGATGGTGGCTGTGGTGGAGTCGCCCTCACGTGAGACGGGCGGGCATTCGACTCCTGTTCTCCAGGTCCCTCCAGAAAACACCGGAATCCCGGCGACAGGAGACCCGTTATCCACGAGCCTCTTAACAGAGAAGCTCAGCCTCCTCCTTACCCACTGAGACTCAGCGACAAAGGACGAGGACAAGTGGGAGGGGCCAGGGATAGGGCGGGAGTGCGCACACACAACACTCACTCACACTCACACACACTCACTCACTCACACTCATTTACACAACACACACTCACACTCACACTCATTCACACAACACATACTGTCACTCACACACACACTCACACACTCATTCACACACAACACACACTCACACACACATTCACTCTCACACTCATACTCACACTCATTCTCATTCACACAACACACACACACATTCACTCTCACACTCATACTCACACTCATTCTCATTCACACAACACACACACTCATTCACTCTCACACTCACACTTCCTGACCTAAGGGTAGTTCTTTACTTTATAATGTTCCCCTCAGATATGGTACAAACAAACAAACAAACAAACGGAAGTTACTGAGAAGAACTCACTCCAGAAAACAACAGTCGCGGCGAAATCCCTCCCCTACGGGCTCTCCTCGCTCTTCCTTACGAGAGCCCACACGCCCGTGGAGAAACGCCTGTGACACCATTAAACCCCTACCTCACGCTCAGCTCCCACGCATCCAGGGGCCACGTGGGCACGATGGGCGCCTCAGGGGCATGAAAATGACAGCGGGCTCCCTGAGGTCCGCTCACAGCGTGTTTAGATAAAAGAACAAACAGAAAAGAACCCGGCACAGTGGGGGGCCCTGTGTATAACAACGCAGAGTTGGGAGCTGTCGACGAAGGTTCTAAATCAGAAAATGGGCATAAGACGGAAATCAGGGTCACTGCCCTCCCACGTTACAGTGCGTGTCTCCTTCTATAAAGTCACACAAGTTAGACACTGTGTTCTCTACAAGGAAAGAAAAGGAAATGGGAAAACCCACTCACTCACATCCCCAGACTGCTTTCCCCTCGGGCCTCAATGTGTCTTTTAATTTTTAATAAATCTTCTGTGGACGAGGTCGTGGTGGATTTGTCTGACCTACACTCACAGCCTTGAAAACAGTTCGCGCTCTCACAGCTGCTGTTTCCAACTGGAGCACGGGCAGGCCGCGTGGAGCTTGCCCGCAGCGCTAATGCTCAGAGTGAGATCAGGCCGAGACGCCGCTGGAGGAAGCGCAGGCAGGACCGCGGACTGGCCCTGGACAGCGCGCTGCTCTTCCCCTGTATTTTTTTTCCTATCCTCATTCGAGGGTATTTTTCCATTGATATTTATTTATTTATTTATTTTAAAAATATTCTTATTGATTGCAGAGAGGGAGAGGGAGAGAGAGAGAAACATCAGTGATGAGAGAGAATCATGGCTCGGCTGCCTCCTGCACGCCCCCCACTGGGGCTGGAGCCCACAACCCGGGCCCGGGCCCTGACCAGGAATGGAACTGTAACCCTCTGGCTCATAGGTCGACACCCAGCCCCTGAGCCCCGCCTCCGGGTGGATTAGAATGATCAGGGAATTGCAGGGGTGGGGTGGGGGTGGGGGGAGGGGTGTCTTGGCTGCTGGTGGGAGTGGGTTCTCACGAGACCTTGAGGAAGAGATGCTCTCAGGCTCCTACGGGAGGATGAGGGAGTGTTATTTTGTCATAATCCTCGGGTTCCAAAGCCCCGCGTCCCCCAAACCAGCCGGGAGACGTGCGGCTGCGGGTCAGCAGAGTGGAAAGCCAAGTGGTGTCAGGGTGCTCTCCGGGTGGAGCTGAGTCGGCAGAGTGCCCGGCCCCTGAGTTCGCGGTGTGGGGTCCATGGCCGGGGGGCCCCTGGGTGAATGCGGGGAGCATGCCCCGGCCGGAGAGCCAGGGGTGCGGGCTCCACAGAGCACACGCCCTTTGCTCAGGAGCTTAAACGTGAAACCTTCCCTCGCTGGCCTGGCCGCGCCTACCCGGCTGGGGCTCCCTCCAGGGTGCGGGGGGCGGGAGAGCATCTCGCCTCCCCCAGACCTCACTGGACGGGGCCTGTGCTTGGTCCCTCCCCCACCCACCTGCGGGGAGCAGCCTGGGGAGGTGGACAGCGTCCTGGCACGCCTGCCTTATCTGCCTCACCTTTGCCCCTTCCTGCTAATGAATGAACAACTGGGCCCATGACAACGCGATCAGAATGACTCACTCCTCTCTTACTGAGCTCAGAGATCACACCGACGTTCTGACAGCGCCCTCTTTTTCTCCTCCTCGTTCCCCTTCTTCTCTCCATCCCCTTCCTTCTTCAAGGACCTCTATCCTGAAATGTCAGTTCCCTACGACAACGGATAAGGAACTGTAATCACCGCAGGCAAGGTAGCCGCCTTCTCTAAACACCCCAGTGCCCTTTACACCTGCTCGAGTGGATTATGTTAGATGCTTTTATTTTTTAAAATTGATTTCAGAGAGGAAGGGAGAGGGAGAGAGAGACAGAAATATCCATGATGAGAGAGAACCATTGATCAGCTGCCTCCTGCACACCCCACACTGGGGATCCAGCCCGCAACGGGGCATGTGCCCTTGACCGGAATCGAACCCGGACCCTTCAGTCCACAGGCCGACACTCTATCCACTGAGTCATACCAGCTAGGGCTGTTTAACTAACCTTCTGATTAAATGAACAATTTTCCCTTCTGGTCATAAAGATAGAAAAGCAATAATTTAGTGCAAAGAGGACGGTGCATAGATGACTGAAGGTGAAGGGCAGGTGTTTGCTCCGGCTCAGGGGGAAGGAGGAAAGCAAACCTCGCAGCTGGCAGGCAGCAGAATCTGGGCGGAGCCGGGAAGTGGGGGAGGTTGATGACAGATGTGTTTGAAATCACGGAGTCCAAAGGCCTCCTGGGTTTGTCTCCACTCCCTCCTGGAGCGAGCAAGGCAGGCACAGTGACGTCAGGGGGGTGTGTCCTCTGACACAGGACCATGCACTTGGCACGCTGCTCTGCCCTCCTCGGTGGCACTGAACTCCACGGGTACTAGTTATTCTGATGGATCATTTTGTTCTGAGGGGATATTCCCAATACGCCCAGGTCAGCGATTTCAACCCGGGTGCCGCAGGAATGTTTAAAACATGCGATCCCTGGCTATCTAGTCCGGAGCGCTGACCTCCCTGAGATTGTCAGGGGAGACATGACAGCAGCCAGCACAGCGACAGCCATTCGGTGTGAATTCATCAAAAATCAGACCTATTTTTTTTTTTGTCAGATTGACACACACAAATATATTCTCGGTGTGCCACAGCCTTCGAGTAATTAGTTGATGTGTGCCACGAGATGAAAAGGGCTGCAACTCGCTGGCATAGATCGTACAAGAGATTGGCCCTGGACCCAGCGGCCGCTTCTAGAAAAAAGGTCACAGGTTTCTGCTGACCGGAGAAGCCGAGCCTGTGCTCACCGGGGCCAAAAGGAGAGATAAGACGCGTATCTGGCGAGTGCAGGTAGCGTCTCCCTCTGGAAGGCAAAACAAGAGACTGGGCCTGAATTAGAAGGGCCGGAAGGGGCAAGGACTACCGAACACCAACCTCTACGGACAGCTGTCGCCTGACCACACCTCCCAGGTGTCCTCCCCGAGGCTGGCCCCTCGCCCACCCCGTCCTGGCTTGGTGCAATCTCCTCAGTGCTACTTCATAACTGTCATGTTGCTACTGTGATGAATCGTCATGTAAATATCTGATATGCAGGATGGACTTAGGCGACCCCTGTGAAAGGGTCGTTCGACCGCCAAAGGGGTCGGGACCCACAGGTTGAGAACCGCTGCTTAGCCTATGCCCACGGAGGAATTCCCAGTTGTGTGACAATGTGGCACAAACACCACTGCTGCT